GAACACTAAATTAACATGCTATGGGTTGCTATGACCCCATTACAGTGTTGTTTACTAAACAGAAGTGTTAGTTATAAGATGAATATATCTATATTGTTTTGAGATATCCTTAGTTTTATAGAATTCTTCCATGTTATATGGCAGTGCAGAAGGGACCTGAGTAAACTGGAGATCCAGGGGTCAGAGGAACATTTCTTCTTTTGGTCCTAACTGCAAAAATGCAGCCAGATTGCACTTGAGAGTCCCCTTTCCCCATCAGATACTGATTAGTCAACAGTTGAGGTTGCATGGAGCCACAATCACCTTAACAGTCCCACATTCCGGAGTAATGCTATTTAAATTTTCTAAGACAGGAATGAAGGAACTACACAGATAAGTAGTATGCACACTGATATAAAAATAGCTCCCTGCTCTCGGGGTGCATCTAAACCGTAGGATTAATCATGGGAGTTGTAGTTTTACAAGCTTTCTCTGCCAAACCACAAATCCAGGATTCCAAGACACTGAACCATGGTAGATCAAGTAGTGTCGAACTCCATAAATTCTACAGTGTAGATGCACCCTAAGATTGCTGGATGCACTTCAGATATGTCTATAGATTGCATAAAATGAATTTAGGGTACACAATGGTACCGTTAATTAGACTTATGTAACACGATTTTTGTCCCTGGGTTATTTCCTAATTAGTTCTAGCATAAAAACATGGAAAAAGTTATATAACTGAAAAACTTTATTTTTGCAGGAAATCCTGCAGCACATTTTGCTATAGTTTTTCAATTAATATCTCATAGAGTGTTAGCCAATTCAACATAGTTTGTGGTAGCCACAAAAACAAAGTTTATGGAGTATAACAACTACTTTCAAAGTAAGCACCCCACACAATTAAACAGGAAATAACACTTTTCAAACAAGGAACAGAAACATTTTCAAATTTTGTTACATAGTGTTATTTGCCTTTTAATTTCATGAAAACAGCCAAGCAAATCTGTCGCATGCAAACATATCTGCACATGTTCTAAGAGACTGGATCATGCCACATGCTTCACCCATTTACTTGAAATTAGATCTTTCTTTAGTTGTTCCAATTTAAACTTCTGTAACTGCAGATACCATTTAAGAAATCTGCTTCAGGTCAATAACTAGAACCAATACTATTTATGGGGGTCCACCAAAAAAGGAGGAACTGCAAATAAGAAAAAAAGGCATGACTTTAAATATGTCAGCTGCCTCTTCCGATTCTCTTGAATAATTTTCTGGAGAACTTTAATATTAATTGACATCTTGGTTGGTCTCTAACAAAGTTATCACCCAATAATAAACTTTCTCAACCAATAAGACCCGGCTATCCCATTTACATGGAACAACCTCCCACCTCTAATGCATTTTCACTCAAAAAATAAGCAGACCATAATTTTATTTTATTTAGATTTACTATGAAGCTTTAAAAACCCTCAGGATGTTTCATTGACTCTTGAGGTATTAGTTGTAAAGGCAAAAATGCAGTAACTTTTTTGGATTTTAATTTTTCCTCAAGCTCTGTATGTTTTGAGTAAAGTAATGAAGTGTAGCAAAAGGTTAAAATCAGTAACTTGGGGTATTTCAGCTCTCCATCCAGCTCTGTAGCTCCCCCTTGTGCTTTCTATTACATTGAGACAATGTGTATAAATAAAACTGTATGCCCTCAAGTTGCCTATTGACTTATGGTGGCCTCTTAAATTTCAAAGGATTTTCTGAAGAAAAGAAGACTTTAAAAAGGCGATTTCCTATGAAATACAGCTTCGGAGTGCTTATTATTTGTTGGTGGTCTCCCATCCAAGTATGAAACAAGGCTGATTCGTTTAGCTTCTAAGATCAGAAAGGATCTGGTGCCTATGATTTATTTACAGAATAAATATCCTACGTATTGAGACAGGCCTACATATTTATGTTTTATATAAACTGCAGAAATTAACCCTTGTTATAAATGAGATTTTATTTATTGAGGGTAGTTTAACCTTATGGTCAGCCATCTCAGGAACACATTCGAGAACTGTATTTAAAGGACGCATCCAGTGACCACCGATTCTATAAATAGCCAAACTGGGGAAAAATTGAGAATTAGGAGTAAAATCTTAAACTCGTGTCCTTTGTTTGATGTCTGTTTTGTGTATTTTAATGTGTGTTTTATAGAAATGCAGTTTTAATGTGGATCTTTTATGGAAAGATGTATATTTGTTGAATTTTTGCAATGTTCATGTTTTTTCATTCTGTTATAACCCGCTTCAAGCCGCAGGGGGAGGTGGGTAAGAATAGTAATAATAATTAAAATGCACTTAAAATACTGAAGCTGACTACAAAGATTTATACTGAAAGAAATGGAATCTTTTAGTATAAATCTTTGTAGCTAACTTCAGTATTTTAAGTCTATTTTAATCATAATGACTGGAAAAGCTTACACAATATGACGATTTAAAGACAGAACTGCAAAGACTCTGGCACAAGTCAGTAAAGGTGGTCCCAGTGGTGATCGGCACACTGGGTGCAATGCTTAAAGACCTTGGCCTGCACTTAAAAACAATAGACACTGACAAAATTACTCTCTGTCAGCTGCAAAAGGCCACCCTACTTGGATCTGCATAGATTATTCACTGATACATCACACAATCCTAGACATTTGGGAAGTATCCAACATGTGATTGACTACAAAAGCCAGCATAGTGATCTTGTTTGCTGTGTACTAATCTTGTTGTGTATTACATAATAATATTTTTATTTCTTACCCACCTCTCCCTATGGTTCAAGAAGAGCTCTGGGTTTGGCTGAAGTTTTGCTTATTGCTTTCAGTGCAGCAGGTCCTAATGAACAATGGCACCTACACGGTAGAAATAATGCAGTCTGACACCATTCTGCTTATCCTGGCTCAGTGCTATGGAATCGTGGGAGTTGTGGTTTTACAATGCCCTTAGTCTTCCAAAGAGGTGTTGGTGGCTCAACAAACTACACATCCCAATATTCCATAGCACTGTGCTGTGGCTGTTAAAGCAGGGGTTTTTTTAAAAAAAAAAAATGTGTCAAAAGCACTGCATAAATAAACAAGTATAAAACTGACAAAATAAAGGAAGCACAAGCAGCTAAATAATTTTACACCAAAAACAGGTAACGACGACTGCATTGTCTGCAGCTTTGAACAATTTACGTATGACAACAGGGCATTGTGGGCAAGCATACAGGTGCAAAGTTGTTTGTTTTGCTACACAGTCGCACAAGGTGGAGGGTTCTTCTAGGTACTGCCATTTTGCCAGGATGTCTTTTTATCTGCCAACTCTGCTTCTGAGTTTGTTCAGGGACTTCCACTTTGCCCATTCTTGCTTTTTTCCTGGAGGCAGACCTTCATGGGGGGGGGGGGGGTTTCCAACTGGGATTTCCTGGTTTAGCTGCTCAGAGGGATGTTCTTGCTGTTGCTGGAGAAAACATTATAGGAGTGGTGGTTCTCATGAAACTTTTACTTGATTTATGCAAGGAATTTTAAAAAGGTAAAGGTTTCCCCTTGACATTCAGTCTAATCAATTCTAACTCTGGGGGGCTCATCTCCATTTCAAAGCCAAAGAGCCAGCATTGTCCATAGACGCCTCCAAGGTCATGTGACCGGGATTATTGCATGGAGCATTGTTACATTCCCGTCTGAGCGGTACCTATTGATCTACTCACATTTGCATGTTTTCGAACTGCTAGGTTGGCAGAAGCTGGGCTAACAGTGGGAGCTCACCCCACTCCCTGGATTCAAACCACTGTCCTTTTGGTCAACAAGTTCAGCAGCTCAGCAGTTTAACCTGCTGCACCACCGGGCTGTATGGTCATGTTCTAGAAGCATTCTCTCCTGACATTTTGCTCACATCTGTGGCAGGCATCTTCAGAGGTTGAGAGGGTCTGTTGGAATATAGTCAAGTGAGGCTTATATATCTCTAGAATGTCCAGGGTGGGAGAAAGTACTCTTGTCTGGTTGAGACAAGTGTGAATGTTGCAATTTGGTGCCTTTATTAGCATTTAATGGCCTTGCAGCTTCAAAGCCTGGATGCTTCCTGCCTGGGGATCCTTTGTTGGGAGGTGTTAGCTGGCCCTGATAAGATTCTTGTCTGTAATTCCCGTTTTTTTTAAGCATTCCTCTGTATTTACTGTCCTGATTATGGAGGGTTTTTAAAGAAATACTGATAGCCAGATTTTTTTTTTCATTTCATTTCATGCTTGTGGGTTTCAATGGCTTCTCTGTGTAGTCTGACATGGTGGTTGTTACGAGTGGTCCAGCATTTCTGTGTTCTCAAATAATATGCTGTATCAGGGAACTCTGGCATGGGCTGGTCCATGAGGTCCAAAGGACTTTCCACAGATACATAAACCTTACTTATTTCGTTTCCAAGAGACCCCTCAACCCCTGAGGATGCCTGCCATAGATGAAGGCGAAACATCAGGAGAGAATGCTTCTGGAACATGGCCATACAGCCCGGAAAACTTCCAGCAACCCAGCGATTCCAGCCATTTTTTTTTTGTCGTGAGAAACTGCAAGTCGCTTCTGGTGTGAAAGAATTAGCCGTCTGCAAGGACGTTGCCCAGGGGACGCCCGGATGATTTGATGTTTTATCATCCTTGTGGGAGGCTTCTCTCATGTCCCCGCATGACGAGCTGGAGCTGATAGAGGGAGCTCATCCGCCTCTCCCCGGATTCGAACCTGCGACCTGTCGGTCTTCAGTCCTGCCCGCACAGGGGTTTGACCCACTGCACCACCGGGGGCTCCATATTCCAGCCATGAAAGCCTTCGACAACACATTCCTCGACGTTCTAATGCCACGTCACATCGCCCCGCCCCTTTATGCAAAAAGTAGAGTGCCAATCTCAGCCATACAGGAAGCTGCAATTTTTGGTCACCCTCTCTATTTCAACCCCCCCCCCTCCGCCCTCCCATAGCTCTATTATACAACGTCACTTCCGAACCACGGCCGATTGGCGGTGCGCTTTATTGCCCCGCCTCCTCGCTTTCGACTGCCAAACAACCCAGACAGGAGAAAAGGAGGCGGAGGAGGCGGCGGCGAGAGAAAGATGGCGGCCAAGGAGAGAGCGCGAGCCGCCCGGAAGGCGGCTAAGGGAGAGGAGGAGGAGGGGGCGTCGCGAGGGCGCCGTCGCGAGCTCTAGCCAACCGTCGCTTTGGCTCCTCCCCCTTCCTCAGGGGAAAAAAAAAAGCGGCTCCTCTTTCGACGACGTCGCTGTTTTCCTTCAGTAGAGCACCCGGCGGCGTCGAGTGAGAGAGGGAGGGAGGATGCCGGGCTCCTCCTCCTCCTCTTCCTCCAGGGCCCTCCCTCTTTCCCACCTGGCCCTGGCCGCCGCTTAAGGGCCCTGAGAGGCCGAGAGAGGCCCGGAGCGGCTGGTCCTCGCTCCCCCCCGCCCGTCGCCATGTATTTCCTGAGCGGGTGGCCCAAGAGGCTGCTCTGGCCCCGGGAGGCCCAGGCGCCGCCGTTCCGCATCCAGGCGGACCCGCACCGGACCCTCTTCGCCGTGCTGTCCCCGGCGGAGCTCGGCATCTGGTACAACAGGGTGAGCTCGGACTCCGTTGATTGACAGGGCTCTTCAGGGTCGCCCGCTTGCTTCTTAAAGGAGACGCAACGCTGCAAACAATGCAATGTTCCATGGCAGACCTCAACCTCCATTTAGCTATTTCAGACATGGGCAAACTTTGGCCTTCCCTCCATATGTTTTGGAATTCAACTCCCACCATTCCTAACAACCTCAGGCCCCTTCCTTTCCCCCCTCACCCGCTTAAGCGCCTGAGGGGGAAAAGGAAAGGGCCTGAGGCTGTTAGGAATGGTGGGAGTTGAATTCCAAAACATATGGAGGGAAGGCCAAAGTTTGCTCATGACTGATCTAATCTCTCTCTCTCTATATATATAATAATCTGAATCCCACAGGTGATGGATCTGGACCAAACTTCCCCACACACCGCCATCAGCGTTATTTAAGCCAGGATGATGGGAGGTGTAGTCCACCCATATTTAGAGAGCACTCCGAACCCCAAACGTAGCACTACTGGTGTCTGGTGAGTTGTTTTTTTTTTTTGGTGGGGGAAGGTTGACAGAAGATTATTATACTACATTTATACCCCACCCTTCTCACCCCAGTGGGGGACTCAGGGTGGCTTACAATCCTTGGCATACAATGCCGCATTGCACATATTATTATTAAACTTTATTTGTACCCCGCTAGCATCTCCCAAAGGACTCGATGCGGCTTACACAGGCCAAGGCCTCAACACAACAACAGCATAACAACAACAATACAATTCAAAGCAAATCAAAACATAAAGCAATAACAACAAAATATTACACCATAACACAGTAAAAACCAGGGCCGGGCCAAGTGATGGGTACAGATTAAAAAGTGCTGGGTGTGACAGGTGGTATGTTGGATTTCTGGGCAAGTGCAATAGTAAACATAACATATGAATTTAAACAATTAACATATCAATTTAAACATACAATAATAAACATGAGATAATAATTTGAATATAAATACAATAACAAGCTTAGAAGTAATTCAGATAGAAATACAATAAAAAAGTTTAAAAGTAAACATACAATAATTCAAATAGAAATACAGAAAAGAGCTTAAAAGTAAACATTGAATCCCAACCAAAGTGGGCTGATGGAGAAAAATGGAAAAATGATGGGAGTTGTAGTTGACTCACACCCAAACAACCTCATCAGTCCAACTGACGATAGATCTGAAACATATGAGTGCTTTAAAACGCTACTCTAGATACCCGGCTTCCAAAATACAGCCAGTTCCCAAGTTATGAACAACATAGGTTGTGTAGGTTAATTTGTATGCAAGTCGGAACAGGCACATTTTTAAGTGTACTCCAGACATATTTGTGTGTGTGTGTGTTTTGGATAGCACAGGGAAGGGTTAATACCCCTGTGGTGTTTGTTTTGCTGTCTGTTCAGATGATGTAGCCTCACTTTCCTTCTCTGTTAGAATTGGATGTTGAAAAGTTTGGCTTGTTTCGAAACAAAGATTGGTGATAAAGCTTCAGCGTGATAACTCTTTCAAGAGTGAATTTCCCTCCCGAAGGGTGAATTCCTCTCACTCCTGTTCTTAACTATGAGTTGTTTGTAAGTCAGATGTTTGTAACTCAGGTACTGTTTGTACTTAACTGGGCAATTCTGGGTATTTATGTTTATTTTCATGTATGTTTGTTTGAACCACAAAGTTTCCTACATGGCTTGATGGATCAGTGTCAGATACGGTACACATACATGTCAGGGTCCAACAAAAATTACTAGTGGATTTTGGGGTGGGGGTGGGGAACTGATAGAGCATGCTGGGATTTGTAGTCCAGCTTGATCTGGAGACACATCTTGGTCAGATCTGGGGTTGATGAGAGTTGCAGCCAGCCAGATCTGCTGTATGGATTTTATATATGTCCCATTATAGGCATATGCATTTTCTAATGCAGTGCTTCAACCTTTGGTTCTCCAGTTGTTTTGTACTTCAACTCCCCAAAATTCCAGCCACCTTACCAGCTGTTAGGAATGGTGGGAGCTGAAGTCAAAAACACCTGGAGGACCAAAGGCTGGAAATCACTGTTCTAACAAGACTGTTCATAAAATTGAAGTGAGCCATGAACAGTCTTGTTAGAACAGTGATTTCCAGCCTTTGTCCTCCAGGTGTTTTTGACTTCAGCTTCCACAATTCCTAACAGCTGGCAAGGTGGCTGGGATTTTGGGGAGTTGAAGTAAACACTAATAAACACTTTTTATAAAATTCAAACCTGAACAACACTAAGCATATACCCTAGTAAACACTGAAATACAGGGTATCCCAAAAGTTGCCATATGTTGGGAAATGGGAAATTGTAGCTAAATGTACCTTTATTAACAAACAAATTGTTCATTACAGAATTTTACAAAATATTATTTAGATATTGTAGATTTGAAAATATAAAATATTTATGATATATAATATGTGTTTGTACCTGCAGTGTAGAGGTATCTTAAGAGAACCATGGCTTGATGGTCTCTTTTCCCCTGAAAGTTTTAGAAGCATACTTTGGGTTGCCATATGTGAAGATGTGCTCTCAGTGGACCAGTCTTGTAACTTCAGGAGGTTGGATTGGATGACCTTGGAGTACCTTCTAGCATTATGTGATTCTATGCACGTTGATAGCTGGAGTTAGGATTTCTGTTTTTCCCCCCCTGGGGAAAACAGTACCAAATTTGAAAAATGTTGTATTTCCCTCAAATTGGAAAAAGTGTTCATGAGACAATACTTAAAAGGGCTTGCCCAATAGATTGTGTTGGAAAAGGAAATGAAAGATCCCTAAGCAAAAGTAAGCCTACGCATAGGGACTACATTTTTTTCTTTGTCTGGCAGGCATAGAGCCTGTACCTACAATGTATCTCTCTATAGGTCTTCAAGTTGCCTTCTAACTTTTGATTATCTCATTTCATAGAGTTTTCTTAGACAAGGGTTACTCAGAAGTGGTTTTGCCAATTCCTTTTTCTGAAATACTATATAACCTACAGCATCTGGCATTTGTTGCTGGTCTCCCATCTTACTATTAACCAGAGCTGGCCCTGCAGAGCATCCAAGAATAGATGGGACCTGGTGCCTTTAGAACAAAAATAGAACACCCCCTCCACACCATTTTAGTTCTGAATTGTTGTGGGAAGGTGTATTAAAATTATATACTTTAATCTCATTCCATTTATAGTTTTTAAAGGCTGGTTTGAACTGTTCCTCCCATACATTGATCTGTAAATAGGTGCATATAAAATAATGTTGATTTGAAATGACTTCTCTGCAGGATTTCACAGTATCTTTTCTCTGTTAGCAGTTTAGTTTCTAATGCTAAATTTCTTTTTTCTTTTTTTTCAAATCTAAACTATTGGAATGGCTAATTGTTTTCCTCTTTTGTCTTCCATTGCTCAGATGAACTGACTTGGGTATATACAAGACAGTTCTTACGTTAGTATCTGTGGATGCCATAAAAATATTTCTTTATTGGGATTAAAATAGGTAAAATGAAATGTGTGCCCCCCCCCCCCAATCGTCTCCAACATAGAAGTTGGCATCTCGTATCCTTTGGCTCTGTTGACCTAAGCTTAATGCCAAGAATGTGATTAATTCTAAAAAGGGAAATTATTGAAGCTGAATTTCATGGGCTAAGAACTGATGGGTGACTTGAAGGGCTATACACCTAGGCATGATGCAATGTTATTTTATGGGAAACACTGCGATTTGTAGTACTATCAGCCTTTGGGGATGTTGAGCATTTATCAGCCTTTGGGGATGTTGGCTTTAAAAGATAAGACTGCCAGGTAGATTGGGATTAGTCTGCCTCTTTCAGTGATGCTGCCACATTGTCAAACTGTGACCTTAAATATATGCGTGATTAGCACCCTAGCAGCCATTTTAATAGTGTTAAGCTGTAACTACTTCATTTGGGTGCTCCATATTCAAACTACATAAGCTGATACAAAACACAAATTGTATTGGGAGAGATTTGCAATAGTTTTTGACTCTAGTGACAGTTTCAGTGTATAAAGCATTAAGGCTTAATTCATGCATTTTGTATATCTTGACCACAGTGAGAATTCCAATAATCCTCCAAATGTGGTCAGCCTCCTGAATGACCAGAATAGATCAATTTTGCACTGTTAACATCTTGGTTCACCATAAAACCCAACATGTGGTGATATTTTTGGAGCAGTGGATTTGTTCAGTCAGATTTTTTTGGATGGGGGTGTTTTTTGTTTGTGTTTTTAAAACCTTCATGAAATATGTTTAGAATTTGTTTATAGTTCTTAACTTCTGAATGCCACAGAATGCCTAAATTGTAGGCCTTTTTCGCTGTGGATTGTGCAGCAAGACAGATATCCCATTCTGGTGCACATGAATTATGAGGGGATGGGGAAGAAATATGGTAACTAAAATTAAATTGCTTATGTAGGAAGTACTTTGGAGACATCTTCGTTAGGGGGAAATACAGTTTGCGGTCAGAGGGTGAGAGTATAGTGGGAAGTATAGTGGGTGAGAAATTTTATGTGTGTTGCAATTCAATGCCTTGAGAATGCAGAGCAAAACTGAGAGCAGATTCAGGATGAGCAAATGCCATGCCCCATGTAATGAAATAGTAAATTCTTGGTTTGTAGGACCTAAGCAGGGCATTTGATAACCAAGGATCTTAGAACTATCTCATTCATAGGATCACCATAAGACAAAGTCAGCTTTAAAAAAAAATAATTTTATTGCATTTATATTCATTTCATTACAAAAAAAATATCTCTACAATTCATATAATTACTTCTTCTCCTTTCCCCCATTGTGCTACCCATCTCCGGAGTTCTTCATTTCTTTATGCTCCCACCAGAACCTCGTTTCTTCTGGTGGAGGTTGGTTCCCATCATCGTTCCTTAATGTTTCCTCAATAAATGTTTTCCATATATTTTCAAAATCATTATCCTTCCTTAGGCCTCTTTTAATCTTTAGATTGCATATTAATTTATCATGTATTGCTAATTTCCAAATTTCCTTTTACCATTCTTCTATCTTAATTTCCACCTCTTCTTTCCAATATTTTGCTATTAGTAGCCTTGCAGCCGTTAACAACATGGTCATCAGATTTTTTTTCATTTTCCTTCCATTCATCTGTATTATAAATAGATAACAGTACAGTCACCAGATTTATATTATTTTTTTCTTTATAATACTTTCTACTTCTACTATAACTTTTCCTCAGAACCTCTGTACATATTTGCATTGCCACCACATGTGGACATATGTACCCCAGACAAAGTCAACTTGATGGCAAGTGAGAACAACAAGAAAGCCTCATTATGGCAGACTTCACAGCTGTAAGATATGGTGATGGCCATCATCTTAAATTGATTTAAGTAAAATATAATATGTACAGTTATTTGTAAATAAGCCCCCACCCCCTCATTCTTAAGTGTAATCATGGCTAGGGATTTATTCACTTTAAATATTACTATGTGTATTGCTTGAAAACCTTCCCAAATTGTCTCCAAATGTGCACAAATGACAATTAAATGCCCAAAACTGTAGGGCTGACTATTGTTGGGAATGAAATGCTAGATTTGATGGACAATTGGTCTGATCCAGCAAGCCATTGCTTATATTTATGCCAAGCATAACTCATAGCTTGTATTGAAGTGTTTAGTGCAAAAATGCTACTTTTACTTGCCAACCGTATATTGGTGCATTCCATTCTGTTTACAGGCTAGTGTCTTAGTTGTCGGCATGTAAGTACACATTTCACAGTTATTGCAAATAGGAACTTCTGTTTGAAAGTTACTTTCTTCTCCCACCTCTAAAATACGCACCACTTCTAGGAAAACCAAATGTTAGCCTCCTAAATAATAGCTCCAAAATCAGTTCCCTTTTGTGAAAAAATCTTAGGTTTTTTCTCAGACTGCTAAATGACTGTTTTTGAACAATATAATGACTTTTAGCATTGAAGTAGCATTGCTATCATTTTGAAAGAAAACTTCCAGCATTAAGAATGGCATTTTTATTTTTTTAAAATTCTCTTATCAAATGATATTTTATCAAGGATTTCCACTCTATTAAATACATATATGCAGCTGTGCTATTAGACAGTGGCAGCCTGAAGTGCCAGGTGTGTTTAGCGTAGTCTCATGCACCAAGGTAAAAGGAGCCATAGCTCAGTAGCAGACCACTTCTAATTCAGTCCCAGAATCTCTTGTTTGAAAACTTATGATAAGTTGGACAAGGAAAACACCCTGTAGACCTTGGACATATTGACTTAAAAGTGGTAGCATTTGTAGTAGCAACATTTAAGTAATACCTAGTTGGCGTCACTCCACTGATGAGATGCCCTTTGATCCCAGGGAGTGGGAGGGAGGGAAAATGTAGTTTGTAGTACTTCTCTATCACTACCATGCTGCTCTGTCTGCAGTCTCCTGAATGTGTTCTGGAGAACTGAAATGCCTTTTAAAATGGGGGGCGGGGGGCGGGTGTTGAAAGCCAGGAATAATTCAAAACCACCCTCTTACTTGTTCTGCTTATCCTATATGCATACATCTAGAAATTTCAGTCAAAAAATCAACTGCAAAAACTGGGGTCTGCTTTTATTAACATTGTGGCTATTGTACCTTGACTCTTACTTAAAAAGTAAACATTCTTTGTGTTGTCGAATCCATTCTCTGAGCAGAATGGTAGAAGGCAAAAGCGTAGTTCATTCTAGGAGTATCTGAAAGAAACACTGACCTTAATAATAATAACTTTGTTTTTATTCCCCACCTTCATCTCCCCGGAGGGACTCGGGGCAGCTTACATGGGGCCAAGCCCAACAACAGTTAAAAACATTGCACATTAGAATGCATGACATCAGTTTAAAATAACATAAAAAACAATTATAACAAAATATAGAACAAGCATCAAAACCAACCTTCTTTACTCTTTCTGTCATTATGGCACTTCTGCATTTTTTAATGCCTGGGTGGAAAAATGCTTTGGCGACCAGAGGCGGCTGATCCCTTGAGGTGACATTGTCAGTTAATCCATAGATCATATACAATCCATAATTTTGGCCCTTTGAGTACATACTATATGCAAACCTCCACTGGATCAAAAAACATTCTGTCAGGAAAGTGCACCAATCAAACACAACCCATCCAAGGAAAGCTTCGTTTTTTGTTCTAATCTGACATTTTGTTCTAATCTGCAGTTCAAAATGTATAGTGCTGTGTAAATCAGTGTTTCTTAAGTATGTGTATGCATTATCCAAACAATTTTCAATGTCCTGCTTGTATCTTGTATTTGATTAAAGGGTTTTTTAATTGTGGGGGCGGGGTGGATGTTCTGTGAATGCATTATTGGAGTCCCCGGTGGGGCAGTGGGTTAAACCCCTGTGCCGGCAGGACTGAAGACGGACAGGTCGCAGGTTCGAATCCGGGGAGAGGCGGATGAACTCCCTCTGTCAGCTCCAGCTCCCCAAGCGGGGTCATGAGAGAAGCCTCCCACAAGAATGACAAAAACATCAAATCATCTGGGCATCCCCTGGGCAACGTCCTTGCAGACGGCCAATTCTCTCACACCAGAAGCGACTTGCAGTTTCTCAAGTCGCTCCTGACACGACAAAAAAAAAATTGCTGGAACAAACAGTGGCATAATAGCATTGTCTTTCTGAGACTAGAAGGAAGAGTATGATGCAGTTGCAGTAAGAGCTGAATGGTCATGCAGAGTATGGAAAATCTGAGGTCTTTGCCATATGACATCATAAAGTCTAGTGTGAACTTGCATTGTTTTAGCTTGCATTTTTGTAGGTGGTATGTTATAGAAACTACATGTTTTTATAGGCAGATAGTAATTGTTAATGTGCTTATTATGTTACTGCTGCTAAGACCTGTATAAAGATATGCAGATGGCAATACGATCAATCACACCATCTGACACCAAATTATAAAGAATTTATACCACTGGCACCTATATAACTGTTATGAGGGAATGTCTCTCTATTTAAACTTTCGCTGCCACCATAAACAATTATACAGGAACGCTCTAGCTATTTAGACCACCAAGTACTGTGTCTTTTAAAAGGGCTTCTCTGAAGGAAAACAGGTGAGGTTGATTTAAAAGGAAAATGGACTAAGTCCACAAATGTACACTTGACTCAGGCTGTTTTAGGTTTTAAAAATAATCAAGTAAAGTTTATTGATATAGTACAGAAGAGAATGTAAATGCTGTTTAGTAAGCTTGGCTGTTACAGATAAAATGTTCTGGTTCTTGAAAGCGTAATGGTTGCATGAGAATGGTTCTTTCTTTGTTACAAATATAAAACCCAGCTATTTTTCCCCTAAATAGCTGTACCCAGTTTGCCACAGCTTAATTCGCTGGCAAACTTCAGGCAAACTGCCTATTCTTAACATGAACTCCTAAAAGCTTCTGTAATCCTGCTCTAACTCTAACATCAACAGACTCACTGAAACAGCTTCTTTCTTTCCCTCCAAACAGTCTCTCTCACACTTTTTAAACAGAGGGCTAGGTCACAGTCTCTCAAACTGTTGGAGGGCCGGATTATAATTTGAAAAAAAAAATGAATGAATTCCTATGCACACTACACATATCTTATTTGTAGTGCAAGAAACACTTTAAAACAATACAATAATTAAAATGAAGAACAATTTAAACAAATATAAACTTATTAGTATTTCAATGGGAAGTGTGGGCCTGCTTTTGGCTGATGAGATAGGGTTGTTGTTGTTGTGTGCTTTCAAGTCGTTTCAGACTTAGGTTGACCCTGAGTGAGGGCCAGGTAAATGACCTTGGAGGGCCGTATCCGGCCCTCGGGCCTTAGTTTGAAGACCCCTGTTTTAGATGAAGCTATGTGTTGTAGTACCACCAATTGCACTGCCATTCTGCAGCATAGGAAAAGAAACAATGTAGCAATAGTGGCTGGTGCTACAGTATTGGGCTCCGAAGATCAGCTAGCAAGAGGAACTAAGTAATGAACTGTTGTGTTTATCTGGGTTTTTACGGGAATGCTCATAGACTTGCTTGAACTTTACTTAAAAAACTTGTTCACTTTGAGATAAATGTGTTAATTTTTCCTGCTCTTCAGTTGTGGCAGTCTGACGTTTTAGCACAACATCTCTCATAATCTCTTCCCATAGGTGATGGTGGCTGGAATTAATGGGAATTATAGGTTGAAAACACCTAGAGCAGGCATGGGCAAACTTCGGCCCTCTAGGTTTTGAGTTCAACTCCCAGAAATTCCAACTAGCTTACTGGCTGTTAAGAATTGGAAAAGTCCAAAACACCTGGAGGGCCGTTGTTTGACCAAGAGGGACTCAGTGGTCAACCTTTAGTTAAAAACTTCAGTGTACAGCAGTGGTTCAACTTGATTTGGTTATTCAGGGTGCTGATTCAGAAAATTGCATTGGGTAGACCACATCAGTTCTAGTTTCGGATACAGAACATATGCCATCCAGTAGTCATCATCTGCTCGCCCACAGAAAACCATATGTAATAATCTAGAGCCACAGACTTTATTTTAGGTCTTGCAGCCCACAGGTTGGGAACCACTGGTGCATAGTATGTATGTTCTTTTCCTCTAAGTAAATTTTTTAATAAGAAAATCCTTACGATAAGTCAGAGTTTGATCAAATGCAGTATACATAAAAAGCTACAAAAATATGGGTATAACAAAAGGAATAAGATTTATTCAGCATGTGAAGACAAAAAAATGGAAATAGAATACTGCTTGCCATAGTGAACTCTTTTCTGAACGTGTAATATATTTTCATCACACATGTAGCTTTCCTGCAGCTGACTGAGAGCAGTGAAATATTACCCGATTATTTAATTGAACTTTAAAGGGGAAATTTAACTGCCATGTTTCTTTCTTTTCTTACAGCCTAGTGTATTAATTGTAAGCTACAAAGAATCAGAAAAAGCAGTATCACAATTTGGACATTATGACCAAGCTGAGTGGAGGCCTGACAGCACTATGATAGCTATTTCGGTGAGTAAAAATGTTTATGTTAAAGCATTTTGTGAGTTGTTATATGATACTAAATAGGCTAGTAATCATTTTTCACAGTACTAAAAAACTGGCTTGCCTTATGAGCTTGTTAGATGGATTACTGAAGTAAATATATGAAATACTTCAACAGTATAAAGTCATTATGCTAATATTTATTACTTTCATCTGCAGCGTAGGGAAAAGATGGCATGCCAGGGCTCACTCCATTGAGATGGCAGAGTATTCAGTTGCTTTTGGCTCCTTCTATAAGCTGTCATTTTTTAGTTGTAATTGCATGCTGCTGTGCATATCCACATGACAGCAAAACCCTCTCCATTAGCTGCATTTGCTTGCTTGAATTGTTCCCATTCAAATTGGTCATTCAATTTTGCTTGTTTTCCCTCCAACCTCACCTCCCCACTTTTCTGTCATTCGTTTTAGATGTTCAGAGTTTGGGGACTATCTGATTATAACACTTGACACATTTTAAGAGATCTATAAGTTATTGAAGTAGAATAATAGTTTGTATCCAGCACAGAATTCATCATGGTGTAAAATGGAAACTATGATTAACACTCATGCAGGCAAATACAAATCATGACATGATCTGTATTTTCTAATTCCAATGCAGAGTAAAGATACTCCATATCTATATGAGAGTTTGTGGTTGCAACATCAAAGGTATTTCACATAGTATATAAAAAAGTCAAAGCCAGATGACCCATGCTCACATGAGGTAGAATGTTTATTTGCCAACATCAGGAACAGCCTTAAAAATACTACTGGTATTATCTGAAGGTTCTCTGGGTTTTGAGATTGATGGAAGGGGGCCTCTCTGAGTCCAGTCACTCTCATGTACGCTTTTGGTGAGAATGAAAGAGAGGGCCTTGGAGGACCTCTATGCTCTTGTTCTGAAATTCCCTCTGTAGGTAGGCTAGATAGACTCCCTTTTTGTCCTTCCCTTGGCAGGACAAATAATTGTTTTAATCCAAAAGCCTTCTGGGAACTGTTTATGATGAAAGGGCTTTTAATGGCAGGTTGTAGTATTTGTTCTTGCCCTATGTTTTAAATGGTGCTTAATGTTTGAGTCCTTAAAACAAAATACAGTGTTTCCTCACTTATTGCGGGGGTTCTGTTCCAGGACCACCCGCAATAAGTGAAAATCTGCGAAGTAGGGACGCTATATTAATTATAATATTATTTGATATATTATTTTCTTACCCGTGCTTCCTTACCCACCTCCCAGCCCATCCCAAGAGCACCTGCCTGCCTCCCTGGCCTCTGCAGACCCCTACAGAGCCTGCAGAGCCACGCAGGCAGTAGCAGGCCAGGGAGGCAGGCCTTCCCCGCTGCGCCTCAGGCCACCACACTTCTGGGCTCCTTGGCCTCCACTGGACTATTTTGTATTTTATATTTTTTATTAATATTTTCAAAAACCCATGAAAGCCACCGCGAAGTAGCGAGGGAACACTCTAGCACTTTTTGTATTTTTAATGTATCTGTTTACTTTTATCTTTTAATTGTAACTCACTTTGGTTTCCATCACTAAGGAAGAGGGATATAAATATGAAGGTGACAAAGTTATACAGTTGATAGTGTTGCCATCAGTAGAAGCAGCATCTGTATTAATGTTATTTATTTATATGTATCTCCCCCCCCCCCCAAAAATGGGGCTTAAGGTGGCTTACAAATTCAAATGATTACATTGTGGTTTTAAACATACCAAAATAAAATAACATTAAATTTTAACCATATTAAAACAATTAAAATGTTTAAAAATTGAGAATACTTTCTAAAGCAATAGAGGACTCGCTAACAGTATTCTCTTTGAAAAACCTATCAATTCTAAAAACATCTTTGAATAAAAAAGACTTTGCTTGATGCTAAAAGGGCAGAAATGGAGGGCAATTCTAGTGTCCCTAGGGGAGATCCAAAGTCCGGTGGAAGCCACTGAGAAGAGCCTATGTTCTCTTTCCTCTATCCATCCTGGCAAAGATGGTGATACTGAAAGAAGGGCTTCTCCTGTGGATCTCAAGGGCCAGGCTGGCTCATAGGGAAGAATACTGTTTGTGAGATAGCCAGGATCTAAACCATAAAAGATTTCATACATAATAACCAGCACTTTGAATTCTGCTTGGAAAAAGGCAGGGAGCCAGTGGAACTGTTGGAGCAAGGGACTTATTATGATATCAGTCAATGCTGCCAGCAACTCTTTGGAGCAAGTGATATTTCTGAACAGTGTTTTAAGGCATAGAGCAAATACAGTAGTCCAGATTGGATGTAACTAAAGCTTGTGTCCATGGCTGTGACCACATTAGACATTGCCAGGAATGGGCATGTGTGGTACACTAGCTTTAAATGTGCAAACGCATGTCTAGCCACTGCAGAAACTTGGACATCTCAGTTCAAGGTTTAGTCCAAGAGTGCACCCAGATTGTGAACTTGTGACTTCTGAGGAAGTAGTTATTCGTAATTTAGTGGGGTTAAAAGAGTGGTTCAGGAAATGCAGCTACCATTGTACTGTACTCTGAATGAAAAGACAGTGCCCTAATGTCCATGCATATTTTTTTCAGTCTGTGTACTGTATATGCTTCTTATTCTCCTAAGTATAACATCCTTGTTCCCCACATGGCTCTGGAAGGCAGGAGATGATTGAGGTGTGAGAGAAAAAGTTTGTGAAGGGGAGTACCTGCTCAATGCTTGCTTATCCTCTGCTTTGCTTGACATTGTTGCTGCCACTACTTTTTTATTCCTGCCCACTATGCCAAGCTGTGAGGTAGCTAACTGGGTGGGTTTTCTTGGTATATTCTTATATATTCTTGGTATACTTCTTATGGAGTTGATCTCTGGAAGATGATAATGTTAATGACTGAAACAGACCTGTTACAGGATGGTGTATTTTGGAACAATTTTTATCAATTTTATATATAAGTGAATGCCGCCATTCATATTCTCGTGTGCTTATTATAATTTTAATTATTCTGGAATGCAATACTGTTGGATCAGTTTGAAAGTTTTTTTTCTTTTCTATTGAATTTTCAGCAAGCTGGGGAACAGTGAGCCTGGGTATTGATAATTCTTTAAATCAAAAATTAAATAATATTGAAAATGTTAATTGCCTTTGAAAACATACCCAAGTACATAATACTTGATTCCTTCATTGCCATTTTAAGGGTTAATACGTGTACATAGTGCTTTTCTGATTCAATGTCTCTCTCAGATTCTCTGTTAGAATGTACTAAGAATTTGAGGACTATACAGAAACACCAAGAAACTCATGTTCGCACAGGTCTGAATTGTCTGAAACATGCATAACTCTTTTTTTGTTACTGGGCCACATCTGGATTCATAATTGCCATTACAAGAAACTACTTCATTCCTGTACCTCATTTTAGGTTTGAAGGTTTCACTTCAGCAGGAAAGTAAAAGAATGCAATGGTTCATGAGAAGTCTCAAGCAAATAGTTCATTTTATGTTTGGACATGGATGTTTAAATATGGAAAGAATTTGTACATGCCATAGATGGTTTCAATTAGTTCAAATATGTCCTGGCCTAATGTGGAAGTCAAACTGGAATCTGTTTTGAAAAATTCATTCTTAAGAATTGTAGTAACGTGCTTGTGCCTTTCATTTGTTTGTTGACTTATGGTGACCCCTTGCTTTTTACACACAACCCTATTTGAAGCTGCAGTCACTAGCTTTCTTATCCATCAAGTTGACTAGTAATGATCTTCTCGCTGATTGCATTCCAAAGTACTGTTTTGTAGGATTTTAAATAAGCTATTGGCAATAACTGTTAATGGATGTGCTACTGAAATTCAAATTTATAATCTAAAATGGCCTTTATTCCAATGGTTTTTGAGTAGACAATTAAATATACCACTTTAATTTTATTCCTTATTCATTGGGTGGCATAAATACTATGAGAGTACAGCAGGTAAACTACTGAAACCAAGCAGCATGAGTAACTTGTTTGCATAATTCATTACAAAAATTTAAAGTAAAGTTAAAGTTTGGATTGTAGGTATCAGTATTTTCTTATCGTTTGTTTGATTTCATGTTGCAAGTTGCTTCTGGTTGTGAGAGAATCAGTCATCTACAAAGACGTTTGCCCAGGGGACACCCGGATGTGTTATGATCCTACGGGGAGGTCTCTCTCATGTCCTTTCTTTGTTTGTGGTTTTAAATACATTACATAGGAACCCTCAGTTCACTTCTGACACAATAAATAGTATTTTCTTATAATGATTCAGGTAAAGAAATTTGTGTCAGTCTCCATTTTTTAATCTTTTGGTTTTCAAAAGGGATTGAGGGTGGGGTGTTCTAGTCTCTTGCAGCATAGCCCGTAGCTACAATTTTTGTTAAACAGGTTTTATTAGTTAATATATCAAAATACTTCTGTTGAGGTTAAAAGTTGACTTCTAGTAATTGTGTAGTGGTTTATGTTTCTACAGATAACTTGATTTTAATACCATGGCTATAAAAGGTGTGCTTCTCCTGCTACATTTATACATTATTAAGTAATTGAAAAGAGAGCCAAAAACAATTGTGACATTGCATCATTAGATGAATTAGAAGGCATGAAAGAGTGTGGTAGTATAACGTTCCACCATTCTACTCTATTAAAGATATCCTGTTTCTGGAAGAAAATGGGGACTATATCTGATACATAAACAAAATTTCAATTGTAGTATATTGCTGATGAGCCATCAACTTTTGGACTGTCAGCTAAAGTGCTGCCAGGTAACAGCCTATTATAAATGTCTACTCTTGAATTTACAATGACATGTATATAGAACAGAAAAGAATCAAGATTTTCACAGCAGAAGAGTTGCTTTAAAAGCACTCAGGAAGCAGAAGGAAGATGTAGTGGATATTGTATATCCGTAATCTGACAAGTGAGATGTTGTTGTTGTTGTTGTTATTATTATTATTATTATTATTATTATTACTATTATATGTAGTTGTGTATATATAGTTAATTTCATAGGTGTATATAG